TCAGTCACTAACCGAATCTCCCGTGTCCCTTTTCAGTCACTAACCGAATCTCCCGTGTCCCTTTCCAGTCACTAACCGAATCTCCCGTGTCCCTTACTCGAGTTTTGAGACGTCTCAAAACACAGTCACCAACTGGTTTGCTTCCCCTGGTGCCCCTTTTTTCCCCTGTACTGCGTGTTCACTACAGGAATGTGATCAAGCATGTTGCAATGAAGGGCACGCAGGGGTCGCTCGGGTGGACGTCGTGCCTCACTGTGACGGTGAACAACTGCATGAAGGACCCGGGGGACTACTGGGAGGCTATGCGGGTGAAGTACTACAACACAGACGCTATCAACAAGGTGCGAGTGCAGTGTCGTTGAGGTCCGAGCGGTGCGCAACGCTGTGTGTGTGTGATTCGAGGTGCCTTTTGAGTCGACTCAAAAGTCATCACTGTGTGTGTGTGTGAATCAGTGCTGTGGTCTCATGCCTCACTGTGACGGTGATCATCTGCATGAAGGACCCAGGGGACTGGCCATGTGAGTGAAGTACTACAACACCGATGGTATCAACTTCATGTGACTTCAGTGACTGATGGTGCGATCCGCGTGGTAAGCACGGTGAACCCCTAGGGGACGTCCTGCTGCACAGTCGCAGTGAACAGCAGCATGAAAGACCGGGGGGACTATTTTTTAGGCGCCTCAAAAAAAGGTGAACAACAGCATGAAAGACCCGGGGGACTACTGGGAAGCCATGGGAGTGAAATCCACAAGGTGGGTGTGCACTGTGCAGCAGTCCCTGCCCTGTTGTTCGCTTGAAGCACATATTATCAAACTCCAATTTTTGTTTGTAATATGCTTCTTGGCCTAGGCCCTCATATCTCCACCTCTTAATTTACCTCCTCCTCCCTTCCCATTCTCCGTGACAGACGTCTTAAAGTGCCGTGCCTCAAAAACATGCTCCCTGGGCAAGACCATCACATCTCTAGCTGTTCCTTCCCCTCCTCCTCCGCCCTTCCCGTGCCCGTTCTTGCTGTTTTTTGGAGACAGCTTTGAGCCGTTTCCAAAACCTCCTGATCGTGCAGGCTGTTTCTGGGAATTCTCCATAACACCCTTCTCCCCTCCCATGCCCTCACCACCCCTCCTCTTGCAGTCATCCCCTCCATTTCTCACTTCACCTTTACCCTTTTCTCTCCCTCGTTTGTGTCACACCCGGCTAGGGCCATGAGAGAGGTGTGCAAGCAAGCCCCAAATACTCATACTCCCCCTCAACCCTCCTCCCCCTGCTCTTCCCACTCTCCCTCCCCCCCCTTGTTTTTGTCACATCCAGTTGTGGCCATGGATGCAGAGCGTGTGCAAGGAGACGTCGGCCAATGGCGGCGTGCCATGCAACCCGCCAGGTGGTCCCAGTGCTGACGTCACCGGGGCGTGCAGCGGCCTGGGAACCGACAATGTCATCGACGTCGTTGCGGTCAACACCACCGACTACGGCCTCGATTTCAAATTCTGCGAGAATGTCACCGTTACAGAGAAACTAAATCGCCAGAGCAACCTCACCCTGAGGTACCCTCGCACTGCGGGTTTCCGTAACTACCGGAGGAATGATCTGGGGTTGAAGAATAATTCGGTGATTCTGAAGTACCGGCCGAATTATTTGAGCTGCCCGTTGGGGCATGCTGGGCCGAGAAGGTTCTCGGAAAAGTCTTTCTTCAACAGCTATAATATCCCGATGCCATGGGGGTTCCGGAGGGTGGTTAGGATGGACACTAAGCATATTATAGACCAGGACTTAATTACCCCTGCGGTTAGGGCTCAGATGATGGCTTATGGAGGTGGTGAGTATTCCTGGTTGGGTAGATCCTTCCTTGTAGGGAGCTAGATACATGTCCAGTTCTTGGAGTGTTTAATAAAACAGTTGAGGTGGATGGCTGCACTTATAATAAAATTTTGTTGTGGCTTGCATTTATTGAATTATTTTTTACCCAAATCACATGCATGCCTTTTTTTAAAGTCACGTTTAGTCTCTAGTGGTATATGTATCCGTTATGCCGGTGATATTAGGAGGACGTACTCTCTTTATAAACATTTGCAGAAAAGGTGGAAAATGCTGGTCTTAGATTATAGACCACCTCCCTTTAATCACCCGCATAAGAGAAGATGCACTATAGAGTATTTCCACACCAAGGACCAGGTCGTGGGCCTGGTTTGGACGTGGCGGGGTTCGGTGGCGCATTCACGCGAGTCTGGAAACCGCCGAGCCGAACCAAACCGCTCAGGCAGCCTCGGCGCCGCCACTATCTGCACACCACGTAAGGTCAGCCCCCACCCCAGCCAACGAGGGAGCTGCAACCTGCGTTCGGTGAGCCGCCGAACCGTGCTAGAGCTCGCGGCTCGATGCGGTGGTTGAGCTTTCGACACTTGATATGTACAACCGTACTGTACACCTGAAGATAGTGACAAGCCTTGGGTTGGGACGTGGTATAAATTGGCAATCTCGAGGGTCAAGGGTCTAGATTGGACTCGTAACCGCATCACAACTAGGCTATCGTACTCTGCACCCGACTGAAACGCGTTAAACCCCGGTGAGCACGATGTGGAGGTTCTTCTGACTTCAAAAGAAATTGGCAATCTCGAGGGTCAAGGGTCCCTCTTGGGCACCAATTTCGCTCGTTGTCGCCCACCCGCCATTACTTGCTGTAAGCTCGGCTCTGCGGCTGGACAGTACAGAAGTCCCTTTCAACACCCAGTCTCCCACCAAGCTTCATGGTTAATAATTGGCTGCGCCTCGGCCGAAACAGCCTGTGTAGCGTTGGGCGTTTTGGTTCCTTCGACTGGTCTAAGAACTCATGTTAGCTGAGGACTAGGTTGGATGTTCCTCTACTATTTGTCACAGGGGATCGCTGCGCCAGTGACTTTTACCCTTTTAGTGCTACTTGAGCCGCGCGATGTTATCGGATATGACTCTTATCGCGTACGACTAGCCGTTATAGCTGAAGGGTCTCGTCGTATGTGATTATTATCTTCGAGATTAGCTAACTAGGTAGGCGCTTAGGTTTGGTCTTCTCAAGTTATGCGTCTTTCCCGAGTCATGCGGCCGTTACGTGTTCGGCACGCGACCTCTCTATTAGTCGCCGCGTTTTTCTGCCTGTGCTGCTGTCGCCTCGCGTCTCCGTCCGACGCTGCTATTGGTGGCCATTTGACACGTGGCAACCGCAACAGCTTCTTCCCTACCCCCCGTCCGCACGGACGATGGTTATCTGACACGTGGCAACCGGGCGAACGCGGGCAATTTGACACGTGGCAAGCGGTGGAACGGGGAGACTCAGGAGTTCGCAGCGAAGGCGACACAGGGAAGAGGGGCGCACATAGCAAAGACGGCCTGAAGAATAAAGACGTATGGAGCCTCGAGTCGCGCTTAGACTATGAGACCGTGCCTCCTTGGAGTCAGGATGATTATGCGGGGATCATGGCGCAGGGGGAGGGGGCGGGGGAGGGGGAGGGGGAGGGGGAGGGGGAACGGGAAGGGGATGGGGAGGCGGAGGGAGGAGGGGAAGGGGTAGGGAACGGGGTGGGGGAAAAGGGGGATGAACAGATGAAAATCGGTGCTAGCGCAGGTGGTGAGGGAAGGCACGCGGAAGGCGACGGAGAGTTTAACCTGGAGTCCTTGGGGGGGTTTGATGGGGGAAGCGGGGACAGTGGGGGAAGCGGGGGCAGTGGGGAAAGCGGGGACAGTGGGGGAAGCGGGGGATACAGCGGGAGTGGCGGGAGCAGCGGAAGTGGCGGGAGTGGCGGAAGGAGTTCTGACATTAGGGCGGGAGGAGCGGAGACCTCGAAGAGATTGGATAGGGGAAGCGGAGGCAGTGCGGGGGGAGGAGGCGGAGGGGGCGGAGGGGGAGGTGGGGAAGATGGTAGGCAGCATAGAGGGGGAGGGGGAGGGGGAAGCGGGAGGCAGCGGCAGTACAAGGGGGAGCTTGCAGGCGGGCTGTTGATGCGCTGGCACAAACAACCCAGTGACTCAAGCGAAGGTGATTCAAACGAGGGTAGTGACGGTATTGGCGTTGCTGCTGCTTCTGCTGCTGTTGCCACCGCTGCTGGTGCTGGTGCTAGTAGCGGTGGTGATAGTAGCAGCAGGGAGGAGGGAGACAAGAACTGGTTTATGAGGGACTGGGGGCGCAGTGGTATGGTGCTAGATGGTGCTACGGCAGATGGTGAGACTAACCCCATGGCTACAGTAGCATCCGCTTTTGAAGCAGCTTCGGGTTTCACCAACACACCTCGGGATCCCGGGGCCTTTCAACAGGGTTACAGCAGCAGCAGCAGCAGCAATAGGGACAGTGACTATGGTAGCGGTGATAGTAGCAGCAGGGAGGAGGGAGACAAGAACTGGTTTATGAGGGACTGGGGGCGCAGTGGTATGGTGCTAGATGGTGCTACGGCAGATGGTGAGACTAACCCCATGGCTACAGTAGCATCCGCGTTTGAATCAGCTTCGGGTTTCACCAACACACCTCGGGATCCCGGGGCCTTTCAACAGGGTTACAGCAGCAGCAGCAGCAGCAGCAGCAGCAGCAGCAGCAGCAGCAGCAATGGAGACAGTGACTATGATAGCGGCGATAGTAGCAGCAGGGAGGAGGAGGGAGACAGGGACTGGTTTATGAGGGATTGGGGAAGCAGCGGTATGGTGCAAGATGGTGCTATGGCAAGTGCTCATGATGTTAATAATGATGGTGGTGTTGGTGGTGGTGGTGGTGGTGGCAGTGGTGGTAATGTTGCTGCTGCTGCAGCTGTTGATGTTAGTGCTGGCGGTGGTGATAGCAACAGCAGGGGGAAGGAGGGCAGGGGCTGGTTCACGAGGGATTGGGGCCACAGCGGTATGGTGCTAGATGCTGCTAGGGTAGATGATGCTGATAATGATGCTGATAATGATGATAATGATGATGGTGATGGTGACGGTGATGGCATTGGTGCTGTTGCTGCTGCTGTGGATACTGGTACTGGTACCGGTGCTGGTGCTGCTAACGGTGGTGATAGTAGCACCAGAGAGAGGGGAGACAGGGACTGGTTCATGAGGGATTGGGGGCGGAGTGGTATGGTGCTAGATGGTGCTAGGGTCGATGATGCTGGGGGTGATGGTGTTGGTGATGGTGATGGCAATGGTGCTGTTACTGCTGCTGCAGACGGGGATGCTGATGCTCATGCTGATGCTGATGCTGATGCTGATGCTGATGCTGATGCTGATGCTGATGCTGATGCTGATTATTTTGGCTCAAGCAGGCAAGCCTTTAGTGATGAAGGCAGTGAGGAGAACCCCATGGCTACAGTAGCATCCGCGTTTGAAGCAGCTTCGGGTTTCACCAACACGCCTCGCGATCTCGGCGCTTTTCAACAAGGTTACAGCAGCAGCAGCAGCAGCAGCAGCAGCAGCAGCCATGGGGACAGTGACTATGGTAGCGACAGCAGCCGCAGTGATGGTAGCGGTAGTGACAGCAGTGGTGGTGATAGTAGCGAGAGTGGCAGCAGCAGCAGTGAGCAAACCGAAGGCTCTAGGATGGCAGCTATGGCAGCGCGAGACGTTGCCGAGGCTCGCACGGAGCCTAGCCTTGGTGCGGGTCCGAACCTGGTGTGGCCTCTGGACGACAGAGTTGTTAGGAGCACTGCGGACAGCGGTAGTGGCAGTGGCGACGGTGGTGCTGCTGGTGCTGCTGGTGGTGGTGATGGTGCTGCTGGGGATGCTGCATTTGGTGGCACGACTGGCGATCAGGGGTCGAGATTTCTTCCACTCACAACTTACTCGGATGATGAGGCAGCAGCACTGGCAGCCAGAGACGTGGCGGGGGCGATTGCCCACCCGGGGCTGACTCCCCAATTGGAGTCAGTTGAGTCAACCGAGTCAACTGAGTCAACTGAGTCAACCGAGTCAACAGGTTTCAAGTCACCCCAAAATGCTGATGAAAGGCCGAGACTCCTTCCACTAACACCCTTCTCAGACGACGACGCAGCGGCGCTGGCAGCCAGAGACGTGGCCGGGGCTATTGCCCACCCGGGGCTGACCCCCAAACCACGGTCAACCGAGTCAACCGAGCCGATTATGTCGATCAGGCAAGCTATCTCCGATGCCGAAATGGGAGCACTTGCTGCGAGAGACGTGGCGGGGGCTATTGCCCACCCAGGGCTGACCCCCCAACCACAGTCAACCAAGTCAACCGAGTCAGCCAAGCCAATCCAGTCGATCAGGCAAGCTATATCCGATACCGAAATGGGAGCACTTGCTGCGAGAGACGTGGCGGGGGCTATTGCCCACCCAGGGCTGACCCCCCAACCACAGTCAACCAAGTCAACCGAGTCAGCCAAGCCAATCCAGTCGATCAGGCAAGCTATCTCCGATGTCGAAATGGCTGCGCTGGCAGCTAGAGACGTGGCGGGGGCTATTGCGCACCCAGGGCTGATCCCCCAACGAGAGTCAACAGAGTCAACCGAGTCAGCGGGTTTAGAGGTGTCTCGAAATCCGGGACTGTACCCTCAAAGAAAGTCAACGGGGTCGACAGAGTCAATGGGCAGCAGCTCTGGTGTGCGGCCTTTCGTTTGGCCTCTGGACGATGCGATCGCTGCTGCTGATTCTGACAGTGGAGATGCTTATAGCGAGGATGGCTATGGCGGGGACGGCAGTGTGGCTGATGAGTCTGATGGGGGCAGCAACAGTGCGGGCGGTGATAAGCGGAGTAGTGGAGATGCCAATAACGAGGATGTGATTGAAGGAGACAGTGACTACATGGCTCTTGCTGCTAAGGACCTCTCTCTGGCGCTCATTCCACGTGGCAGCAGCTCAGTGGACGAGGAGAGAGGGGCAAAGGGGGGGAAAGAAGAGTGGAATGGGGAGGGGGAGGAGGATTCTAGTGAGGAGGGTGATGAGGGGGCTAGTGAGGCGGGGGGAGAGGAAGGGAGTGGGGAGGAGAGGACAAAGGGGAGGGTGGAGAGTGCAGAAGCAGCGAGCACAAAGGGCAAGGAGGGAGGAGGCACGTTTCAGTACCATCCTCGCACCCGCATGCAACCTCCGAAAAGCACTGGCAGCAGCAGCAGCACCACCACCACCACCACCGGTGGCAGTGGTGGCAGCAGCAGGGGCGCTACCAAACAACGCTTGCCGGCCAAGCTGAGAGGCCCCGTCGCATTCCCGTTCACCATCCAGCCGCCCAGCACCGATCCCATGGCTGGCATTCTCACCTGGCCAATCACATCCGTCCAAAACAGCAACAACCCCGACACCGCACCCCCCTCCTCCCCCCAAGTTCCCCCCTCCTCCAAAAAACCATCCTCTCCGTCTCGGCAACCCTCGGCCAAGCGGCCCAAGGGCGTGTGCACGAGCCTTCGAGCAGTCTACGTCTTGAACATCACCACACCCACTGACTTCAACCTCAGGCTCCAAATCCCCCCCAACGTCACCGTTGTTATGTACCTCCAGAACAACATAGTCCTCCCCTCAGGGCTCGTCTTTCACGCGGGGTTCTCGTGCACGCTGCTGATGTCGATGGTGGGGGTGTGGCCGGGGTATACTATCGAGTACCCTGGGAGCGACATGCCGGCTTTTAAGGTGGAGAATGCGAGCAATGTTGTGTCGGTGAATGTGAATTATAAAGTCGGGGTGGCGGCGGGGGCAGCGGCGTGTGCGGGGTTCCAAGGGGCGGATCAGACATCGGTGTGTCCGGCGATTGCCATTCACCGGTCGTTCGGCGTGCAAGTTGGAGCAGTAAGATCCCCCTTCCTCTCTCTCTTTCCCTCCCTCTCTCCTCCTCTCTCCTGCACACCCTCACATTCACCCTCACACTCACCCTCACACTCACCCTCTCCCTCTCTCTCACCCTCACACTCACCCTCATGCACGTGCTTGTGCATGTGCTCTTAAGGTGGAGAAAGCCAGTAGCGCAGCCCCGGTGAATGTGAATTTGAGGCACAAGGTCACCGCCCCAGCCCTCTCCTCCATCGCCTCCGCGGGCCACATGTAACCCCACCTTCGCCCAAATGATCTCTTCTCTCCTTTTCATCGCCGCCTTTTCCTTACAAGGCGACTTTTGAATGGACTTTTGAGTAGACTCAAGAGTCGACTCAAAGGTCAGATGCTATCTTCTCCCCTTGTCATCGCCTCCTTCTCCTTACAGGGCACTGTCTACGGCCGCGTGGATGCCATCAGAAGCATGACCGTGCGTGGCCCTGGCCCTGCCCTCGCCTCAACCCTCTCCTCCTTCCCCTCTATCTACGCCCCCCTTGTCCCACAGGGCACTGTCTACGGTCGAGTAGACGTCGTCTGGAGCAAGGACGTGCTTTTTGAGAATTCTCAAAGATCACCACCCCAGCCCTCTCCTCCATCCCTTCCTCTCTCTTCCTCTCCCTTCCTCTCCCTTCCTCTCCCTTCCTCTCCCTTCCTCTCCCTTCCTCTCCCTTCCTCTCCCTTCCTCTCTCTTCCTCTCCCTTCCTCTCCCTTCCTCTCTCTTCCTCTCCCTTCCTCTCTCTTCCTCTCCCTTCCTCTCCCTTCCTCTCCCTTCCTCTCCCTTCCTCTCCCTTCCTCTCCCTTCCTCTCCCTTCCTCTCTCTTCCTCTCCCTTCCTCTCCCTTCCTCCCTCCCCCCCACAGGGCACAGTGTACGGCAGAGTGGACGTTGTTCGGAGCATGAACGTGCGAGTCGACTCTTTCAAAATCACCGCTCCAGCCCTCTCCTCCATCGCCTCTCCGGGACATGTCCGCGTGGCCCTCTGCGGTATCGGCCCGTCCCTCCTCAAGTCCAACGTGCTTATAACGAACAACGAGGTGTACGCCGCGCGCATCGGCATCGTCCTGCACCGGGGGGCCGTGGGGGTGGCGGTGGCGAGCAACTACGTGCATGGGTTCACCGGCGCGGGGATTATGTGCGGTGCTGGACCACGATTCGTCGGAGACTGCATGCTAGTGAATATCTCGAATAACGTGGTGCAAGCGCCGTGGGGAGGGATGCCTGGCGCTGGGAAAGCTACTGGGATCATCTTTTCAACCCACTGGATCAACCCGGGTAAGGCAGCTGGTGGCAGCTCATGGGGTGGGTCTGGGGAGACACACGGGGGTGGTGGGCGTGGCGTTGGCGAGTTATTCAACTCCGTGCATGGGTTCACCAGGGCTGGCATCATGTGCGTGCGTGCAGTGCTGGGCTGCTATTCGTGGGAGACTATTTTTGAGTCGAGTCAAAAATAGACTCATTACACTGCAGTTCGTGGGAGACTATTTTTGAGTCGACTCAAAAATAGACTCATTACACACTGCAGTTCGTGGGAGACTATTTTTGAGTCGACTCAAAAATAGACTCATTACACACTGCAGTTCGTGGGAGACTATTTTTGAGTCGACTCAAAAATAGACTCATTACACACTGCAGTTCGTGGGAGACTATTTTTGAGTCGACTCAAAAATAGACTCATTACACACTGCAGTTCGTGGGAGACTATTTTTGAGTCGACTCAAAAATAGACTCATTACACACTGCAGTTCGTGGGAGACTATTTTTGAGTCGACTAAAAAATAGACTCATTACACACTGCAGTTCGTGGGAGACTATTTTTGAGTCGACTCAAAAATAGACTCATTACACACTGCAGTTCGTGGGAGACTATTTTTGAGTCGACTCAAAAATAGACTCATTACACACTGCAGTTCGTGGGAGACTATTTTTGAGTCGACTCAAAAATAGACTCATTACACACTGCAGTTCGTGGGAGACTATTTTTGAGTCGACTCAAAAATAGACTCATTACACACTGCAGTTCGTGGGAGACTATTTTTGAGTCGACTCAAAAATAGACTCATTACACACTGCAGTTCGTGGGAGACTATTTTTGAGTCGACTCAAAAATAGACTCATTACACACTGCAGTTCGTGGGAGACTATTTTTTAGTCGACTCAAAAATAGACTCATTACACACTGCAGTTCGTGGGAGACTGCACGCCAGTGAACGTGTCGAATAACGTGGTGCATGCACCATGGGATACCTGACACAGGGAAGACCATGGGGTTCTCTTCTTCTCTGCCCGCTGGAGCCAGCCAGGAACCAGGCATCTGTGCATCGGCCGCACAGACCGAGGCATGGTGCTACATCTGTGCATCGCTCAACAGCATGCTTTTGGCATTGAAGGCCACCGTCGCTTTTCCCTCTCACAACGTGGCAACCTGGCAACCTTGCAACATGGCTGTTTGCAACTACATCATCAACGGCGCGCTCTGCTTTGACCTGGGCGCCTCATATATTCCCCTTCACTTTCTTGTGTTCCTCAACCCCCGCAACCTTATGCTCCATCCTCCTGATGGCAACTTGGCGCTCTGCAACTACATTGTCAACGGCGCTCTCTGCTATGACCTGCACGCTCCCCCGGCAACACTGGACTACCCTGGCAGCATGATCCCCAGCCAACCATCTCATTCTCCCTGCCTCCTCCCCTTCCCCCCCTGCCAGACAACACGAGTCTACTCAAAAGTCACGAGCCTAGCTTTGATGCGCCTCAAAATTTGACTCAAAAGTCACGAGCCTAGCTTTGAGGCGCCTCAAAATTTGACACAAAAGTGACCAGTCTAGCTTTGAGGCGCCTCAAAATGTGACTCAAAAGTCACGAGTCTAGCTTTGAGGCGCCTCAAAATTTGACTCAAAAGTCACGAGCCTAGCTTTGAGGCGCCTCAAAATTTGACTCAAAAGTCACGAGTTCAATTTTGAGGCGCCTCAAAATTTGACTCAAAAGTCACGAGCCTAGCTTTGAGGCGCCTCAAAATTTGACTCAAAAGTCACGAGTCTAGCTTTGAGGTGCCTCAAAATTTGACTCAAAAGTCACGAGTCTAGCTTTGAGGCGCCTCAAAATTTGACTCAAAAGTCACGAGTCTAGCTTTGAGGCGCCTCAAAATTTGACTCAAAAGTCACGAGTCTAGTTTCGAGGCGCCTCAAAATTGGACTCAAAAATCACGAGTCCCTGGACGCTCTCCTGGCAACTGCATCATCCACGAGCCCTTGCCAGCCATCTCCTTCTCCCTGTTTCCTCCCCCTTATCCCCTCCCTTCTCCCCTTCCCCCCATCTTCCCCCCCACCCACCGCTCTAACCCCCCTCTCTCCCTCCTCTCCCCCCCCTCTCCCCCCCCTCCTCCCCCCATCCCCCAGGCAACTTGGCTCTCTGCAACTACATTGTCAACGGCACGCTCTGCTATGACCTCAACGCCACATGCACCCATGTTCCCCTCTGCCCTCCCTTCTCCTCCTCCTATCCCCCCCCCCGTCCCCCAGGCAACTTGGCTCTCTGCAACTACATTGTCAACGGTGCGCTGTGCTATGACCTCGACTCCACGTCATCGGGCATTTTGATCCAGGGTGGCGCGTGCATGTATGCGAAGCAGGGCGTGCGAATCAACAACGGGAAATCGTGAGTCGGGAGCAGGTGGATTGAAGTTGGATACATTAGGCAGTTCTTTTTTGGGGGAGGGGGAGGGCGGGGGCTGTTTTGATTCAGGGGGGGCGCATGCATGTACGCGAAGCAGGGCGCGCGAATCAACAACAGGAAATCGTGAGTTGAGAGCTTATGAAATGAGCTGTCACTGGGAACCCTTGGGTTCATCAGGTGTTTCGGTGCAGGGCGGCAAGTGCATGTACGCGAAGCAGGGTGTGCGAATCAACCACGGGAAATCGTGAGTTGGGGGGAGGCAGATTGAACGGGCATTGGGGAGTTCTCAGCTCATTCGTCAGGTGTTTTGGTCCAGGGCGGCACGTATGTGTGAAGCAGGGCGGTGCGTATGTGTGAAGCAGGGCGGTTCACTCATGCATGTATGCGAAGCAGGGCGTGCGAATCAACAACGGGAAGCAGTAAGTATTTAGCAGTAATTAGGGAGCTAATGAAGTATTTAGTCACTGGAGGAAACTGTAGTTTCATCCATGTGTTGTGGTGCACGGGGGCACGTCCATGTGCACGGGGGAACGTCCATGTGCACGGGGGCACGTCCATGTGCACGGAAGCTCGTCCATGTGCACGGGAAGGCGTGAGGACCAAGAACAAGACGTCGAGAGTTTGTGACAGGCAGCGAGGCAGGCAGCAGGCAGGCAGTGTCACCAGGTTTTTCGGTGCAGCGAGGTGCGTACGCGCACGTACGGGCATGTACGCGCATGTACGCGCATGTACGCGCATGTACGTGTATGTACGCACATGTACGCGCATGTACGCGCATGTACGCGCATGTACGCGCATGTACGCGCATGTACATGCAATATGATATTTCGAGGTTACAATAAAAAGGGAATTGCTTCAAACTTTCTCCAAGCTTTCTTCCTCGCTCTCTTGTTCAATCCCCCCTTTCCCCTTCTAGAGGAGTCTATTTTTGAGGCGCCTAAAAAATTATCCCGTGTTCAATCCCCCCTTTCCTCCTTCCATCTGAACCCCAGTTTCTGTTCTTCTTTCCCCTATCATCCTACGCTCTTCTCTAGGTGGTAGTTACAAGAACAGTGTGAAGCATGTGATTGTAATGCTTTAATCTCACTCTCCTCTCTGTTGCTACCCTACCCCACTCTCTCTCAACTCTTCCACCCCCCCCCCCCCCCCCCCCCCGCCACCCAACCCTGCTGTAATCAACCCTTCCGCCTCTCTTCCCCCTCTTTCCCCTCGTTACAGGAACGTTGTGAAGCATGTGATTATGAGTGGAGTGCCAGGGACAACCGGGTCCATAGCATACCCCACAGTCACAACCATCAACTGCCTCAAAAAGTCGGGTATCCTCCTTCTCCCCTCTCTCCCCTCGTTACAGGAACGTTGTGAAGCATGTGATTATGAGTGGAGTGCTAGGGACAAGCGGGTCCATAGCATGCCCAACAGTCACAACCATCAACTGCCTCAAAAAGCCGGGCTCCTATTGGGAGGCAATGCGGCTTAAATACTACAATTCCCCTGCTATAAATGCCGTAAGTTATATATTCCTTCATAAGTGTCTTACAACGAAATGTCCTGTTCTACCTGTAGTGGAACCTGTATTCCTGTATTCCTCCCCCCTTTGTCCCCCACAGGCATACCCCTATTTGCAGCAGATATGCACCCAGACAGACGCTAACGGCGGCATGATATGCAACACTGATTTTGGGGCCAATGCTACAACCACCGGCAACTGTAGCGGGCTTCCCACTGAGAACAACGTCGACCTGGTTACCATCAGCAATAACACCGAGTCCATGGGATACAGCAATGGCTGCTTCACTTATGATAATATCGACATACTGAGCAACCTGACACAGATCCCAATACCCTATCCAAAGAAGGCTGGTTTCCGGAATCTTCGCCGGAACGACTTGGGTTTGAAGGTTGGATCGTTGCTCTACAAGTTCCGGCCAAGATTTCTGAGCTGCCCAAGAAGATACTCGGGTCCTCGCAAATTGTCATTGAATTCCTACTTTTGGAACTACAATATTCCAAGGCCAGCAGGCTTCTACAGGCTGTTGGCCATGGGAACTAACCATCTAATAGATGGCTCGTTAGTCTAAGACCATTTGTTGTACCATGGTACAACGTGTGAATAATTGTAATTGCCCTTCAATTTCGATATTTTTTCCACACCGTTTCCCTTGTTATATCATTTACCGTGACCGTAACGGTACCGAGTTTGCCGATGCTGAAGGGCTTGTGCTGGAAGGGTAGCTACCCTAAATGTGGTTGTCTGGACCCTGAACCTTCTGCCGAATCTCTGAATTTGGCCGAATCAATGAGCCATGGAATTCCGATGCATTCCGTGACAGGTTTTCATGAAACCTGACGGACTAGTCTCGCAGCATGGCGTTCACACAGGAGAAATTCCCGCCGCCACTGCGTGGAGAAATATCTCCGTCACGAACATCAACGGTGATTTCGGGAATAAGCTTTCATTTCAAATCGCTCCGTCACCTGCGCCCCAAACACTAGAGTAGAAGGCAAAAAAGTCCTTCCGCTTAGGCAGAGTGTTTCCCTCGGAGAAATTGGAAGATTTACGAGTGAAAACCCCTTGGAATCTGGAAAATTCTGGGTATGATTGGACCATAACTCAGCACTTTCCGAAACTCTCTGGGGCCTAGCAAAAGCGGCCTTCCCCATGCAGGTACACACACACGGCCAGCCAGCCTTTCTGTTTTTGGGCCCATCCATCACCACACACAGCGTGCTAGGCGCGTTGCCTGCGTCTCGTGGCCAGGATATTCTCCTGAAATCCCACCTGACGCTGCACCGCCTTGCCCGCGAGAGTCTCCTGGTGTGGCGCAAACGGTTTGACTGATGGTGTTCGCGAAGAAATGTTTGACGGCCCGCTCTTGTTTCCTGACGGCCGTCTCACTACCAGTCTGTGTGGCCTCGTTTCGGAAGAGGTTTTGTGCCGGAAAGTTTCGACTGCATTGTTTTCGCCACAAACCAAACCGCGGGCTTCATGCCTCATGTGTTTGCGCCAAGTGCTTTCTCAGCTGTTTTTGGGATGTGAACAAAGCCAAACCCCAAACGCGAATCACGGGAGTCGCGGGTAACTTCCCACCGCCATGCCAATCGCGTCCGTTAACAACCTGACCTACTGCACCGTACTCAAATCCTCCTCACCTTGTTCTCACCTCATTCTCACCTTCTCACCTCCTCACTGCACCTCACCCCGTTCTCGAATGCCACTCGCCCCGACCATGTTACTCTCCAGCCAGTCACAAACTTGAGATCGCGTCTGCTGGACTTCGCTTTCCGTGACAGCCGGCCCATGTCCAATAGTGTCCCCATAGAAACCGCAGACCCCGTGTTCAATCGTAGCTACGCGTTGCAATTTAGACGGAAGAAACAGAAAATTCGGATGCTCACGGCGGCAATCACGGCGCCGTGCCACTTTCCCTCGTGACGCGCCAGCGCGTTGTCAGCAGTCTAGGCCGTCCTTGCCTAGTTCTCTCGTTTGGAAGCAACTCTTCTCATAAGTGGAACTATTCCATTGTCTAAATCGGCCACTCCGTCTCTAATATAATCGGTCCCTACCCGAGTCCTATCTAGCCCTTCCCCTTCCTCGAGCCAATGCAAGCCGCGTTACTAGACCCGCATCTCGGTACCCTGTAGACACCATAGACTCCAGCCATCCGCGTCGCTCGTGGGCTTTTAGGAAGCTCCCCCTTCGTTGGACCCTTACACTCTAGGAGCCGCGTCTTCCATCTCACAATGGCGCCACGCGGTGCGCAACCGCGCCGGGTTCTTCTCTCGTTGGTCGTCTGTCTCGCCGTCGCTCTCGCCCTCTCTCCCGCCCTCGCCTTCGCGCCCTCAGGTATATGCTTCTGCTTTTAGTCGACTCAAAGGCAGACTCCGGTTCGACCTTCGTTGCAAGACGAACCGAGAAGGTGTCTCGCCCTCTCTCCTGCCCTCGCCTTCGCGCCCGCTCCTTCGCTCCCTCGCCTTCGCGCCCTCTCTCCCGCCATCGCCTTCGGGCCCTCAGGTAGCTCTTTCCGGAGTTTCTTCTACCTACGTCGATCTGTTTCTTGCGTAATGAGTCTATTTTTGAGTCGACTCAAAATTTGACTCATTACTCCCGCACTCGCCTTCACGCCCTCAGGTAGCGCCTTCCAGAGTTTCTTCTACCTACGTCGAGCTGCGAAGCTGTTTCTCATACCCGCTGTTTTGAGGCCCCTCGCATCGCGTAATGTGTACACTTCCACGTGTCGCCGGAAAAGTCATGGTTCGAATCCTCACCTTACCCGCTTCCTTCCTCATTCCTCCCCATCTCACTCCCCCCTCCTCTCCCCCCCCCCCCCCCCTGCCCCCCCCCCTTTTCCCAACTTCCGCCTTCTTGCCCTCCGTCTTCCCCTCCCTCCTTCCCCGTCTTCCTTCCCTTTCTTTCTTCCTCGCCGTCTCCCTCCGCAGACGTGACCAGTTACCGCGGGCTCGTCTGGCGCTTCCTGGACCAATGGCCGTCCTCGACGCGTCCACGTCAGCACTCCACTGACCTGGATTCCTCCGTCTCTCACGACGCGGCGGTACCGCAGCCGTCGCCTTCCTCTCTGTTCGCGTTGGGCAACGAGACCTGGGAGACTCGCCGAGAGGAAGCAGATTCAAAGGAGTCAACGGAGTCGACGGGCACTTCTAAGGCAGAGGGAGTGCCGGTCCCCGGCCGTGCAGCCGTTGTGGCTGGAGCGAGCGCGTCGAGGAAATGGCTGGGACACGTGGCGCGCCAGGGCGTGCCGATGGGGAAGCGCAGGCAGATGGGTGAGTGCTGTTGGTTCCGATGGGGAGGCGCAGGAAGTTCCTTCCGCATTTTCTCCCCTTCCGCATTTTCTCCCCTTCCGCATTTTCCCCCTTCCGCCCTTCCGCCCCTCGGGCCCTTCCGCCGTCCCTGCTCGGGTCGATTTTGGCAGTGCCGCCCCTCACTCTCCCCTGACCCGCTTCCCTCATTTCTCCTCCCCCCGCTTCCGCCGTTACCACCCTTCCCCACTTCCGGTTCTCGTTACCGTTGCAATAGCCCCCAATATCTCTCAATCAAGTCATTTTCGCCAATGCTTCTTCCCCGTTTTCCTTCAGCTGACGCCTGGCTGGATGGCCCCTGCTCCGACTACGAAACAGCGGTCGTTATCAACATTACTTCTGCAGCGGATTTCAGCAAGCGATTACAATTTGACTCCGTTACAACCGTCATTCTGGAGCTGCAAAAAAACCTCGTTATAAGCAAGGGGATCCTGTTCAACAGCAACTTTTCGTGCACGATTTTCCGATCTGCGAAAACCGCCGCGGTCCCGTTTCAGATCACTCATACGGGAGCGAATGAGCCAGTACTGCGTATATGGAACACGAGCAACGTGCTTGTATTGAAGGTCGACTTCAAGCTGAGCGTTCGCACGTCGTCGCCAGCCTGCACTACAGTACCCGAAGTTACATCCAAGGCGCAGTGCCCGACAATTTCTATTATCGGTTCTTACGGAATTCAACTCGCTAAAGGAAGTGTATTCGGAAGAATTGATCTACACCGGACGATGTCGTCGCGAGTTGACTCCATGCGTGTAACGGGCATTCCGATATTCAACCAGTCGCCTGGCGTGATTCAAGTTACGTACAGTGGACATGGGCCTACACTCGGGAAATCCTTCATCGCTATAACAAACAATGAAGTTTATGGTGAGTCAGTCACACACATGCCAATTGAGTTCTAAAACGCTTATGGTGAATAACCACCATTTTGTTCGCAACCTTTCGCATGCATACCTCTACTCTGCGCATGACTACATCTTCGCGGGCATCCACTGATCCCACCCCCCCCCTGACCCCCCTGACCCCCCCTCCCTCTCCCCCTGACCCCCCCCACCCCCCCCCCCCCCCTTGTACCTTCCCCCTCCTTGCCCATTTTTCAGGCGTGCACACGCCCATTGTCCTGCACAGAGGCACCATCGGCGCCATCGTGCGCAACAACTACGTGCACGACTACATCTTCGCGGGCATCCGCTGCGGCTCCGACGTGCACTTCCAGGCGGACTGCATGCTCACGCAGATCGACCGCAACCACGTGGTGGCTGCTGGGAAGAACCGGTCAGGAGACCAGGACGCTGCTGGCATCTACTACTGCGTGCACTGGTTCAGCCCAGGTGGGTCCTGAGTGTGCTTGTGGACGTTGCCAGTTCTGAAGTGCTTTTGGCAGTACTTTCGGTGCGAGGTCAGGAGGTTGCCTCTTCGGGCGGACTGCATGATGAAATAGACCACACAAAACCACGTGGTGGCCGCCGCTCGGAGGAACAGAACGGGGATCACTGCGACTACCTTTGAGTCGACTCAGAAGTCGCTCTGCTCGCTCCTCCTGTCCGTCCTCCCTTCCTCTCCCCCCCTCCTGGCCCCCTCTCCTGGCCCCCTCTCCTGTCCCCCCCTCCTGTCCCCCCCTCCTGCCCCCCCTCCTGGCCCCCCCTCCTGTCCTTTCTCCCTCGTTTCCCCCTCCTGTTGTAGACAACACTGCTGAGTGTAAACTGCATTTACAACGGGGATGACTGCTACTCTCTCTGACCCCACTCAAAGTCGTTTCTGCTCTTTCCTCCTGTCTCCCCTCCTCTCTGATTTCCCACAGACAACACTGCTGAGTGTAACTACATCTACAACGGAGATCACTGCTACTACCTCGATTTTGTCACATCGGGAGTGACTATCAAGGGAGGTGCTTGCATCAACACGTACGACGGGATCAAAGTCAACAACGGCAAGTGGTACGCTTGTTCCCTTTCTCCTTGAAACTTCCCTGAAACTTCCCCCTACTTCGCCCTCTCTCCTTCACCCCTTTTCCCCTTCGCTCAAAAACTATTTTTTTCCTTTTTTCTTTTTTTCCCCGGAAATTTTTGTAACAATGCCGTATGTTCACGAGTCTGTGCTTTTTACAATTTCCAGGAATTTTATCGAGGGTGTGATTGTAAAGAAGGTCCCCAGGCTATCCCCCAGGTGGAGCATGTGCTTGTACTCATCTGTCTACCCCCCTTCCGCCGTTGAATCTCCCTTGTCCCATATCCAGGAATTACGTTGAGGGTGTGATTATAAAGAAGGTGCCCGGATCGCCCGGCTGGAGCACATGTTTCACTCCCACTGTGCTCAACTGCAACAAGAATCCCGGCACATACTGGGAGCTCATGCGGAAGCAGTACTACGACACGCCATTGTTTCAAGCGGTAAGAAATGGAAATTAATTGGCATGGCCATGCAGGCTGTTTGTACCAAGGGCACGTACTGGGAGCTCATGCGGAAGCAGTACTATGACACGCCATTGTTTCAAGCGGTAAGAAATGGAAATTCATTGGCATGGCCATGCAGGGTGTTCGTACAAGGGCACGTACTGGGAGCTCATGCAGAAGCAGTACTACGACACGCCATTGTTTCAAGCGGCAAGACATGGAAATTCATTGGCATGGCCATGCAGGGTGTTCGTACAAGGGCACGCACTGGGAGCTCGTGAGGAAGCAGTACTACAACACCCCATTGTTTCAAGCGGTGAGAAGTGGAAATGCCCTGGCATGACTGTTGGGGGGGGGGGGGGTGGGGTTGGGTATTTGTAACAAGGCTCTTACTGTGAGCTGATAAGGTGGCAGTACTATGACACTAGGTTGTTTCAAGAGGTAAGGAAACGACTGCCAGGTCGAATGATGGTGGGAGCCAGCACTGATACCTTGATGTGATTGTAGCAGGAAATGCTGATTCTGACACCACACTGCTTCGCACGAGTTCGTCTTACGGTATGCCTACTACCGTATCAGAAACGCCTTGTGAAAGGTCAGTTGTTTCTTTTGTATCAACCTCCTCCTCTTCTCTCTGTGTCCCCCCTCCCCTCTCCACGTCTCTCCCTGTTCAGAAATATCCTTTCTGGCCGGACGTTTGCAACCAGAAGACAATCGACAACAAACCATGCAACACCAACAAAAAGGGAACCTTTTCGGCCGATCAAACTGGCGCGTGCAGCGGCCTCCCTACAGAGAACTTCCTCAACCTCGTTTTAGTGGAGACGGAAGGGCGAGACGTTGATTACAAATATTGCGAGAAGTTACCAACTGTAGAGGCTGGTCCGCTCAACGATCAAAGGCAGGTCAATCTGACCAACATCGCGGCTGCGAAATTCATGGATTATGCAAATGACGATTTGGGAGTGAACGCCGGATCGTCCCTGTTCAGCAGCATCAAAGATTTCAAGAGCTGCCCGAGAAAAGACGTTGGGCCCCGAAGGATCGACGACGCGTTTTACTACTTGAATTTCAACCGCCCGGAGCCGGACCTTTATAAGGTGGTTCTCTCTATGAGCACTAAGCATGTGCATGACCCTCAGGTTGTGAAGCTGAGTAAGGTGCCTAAGAAGAAGGGGAAGTAGGTCATGTGTGTGTGCATGCTGTGCAGTTGAATGGGTTTTGTTTACTAGATAAATGATTCACGTAATGGTTCAGAGCAGTGAATGATTATGACGCTCTAACGGTGTTATGATGTGATGCCAACTGTAACATATCCTTTGTGTACCTCCACATGGATATGCTCAGTACAGCAACACCACTAGCTGGTTGCACACCACTGGTTTTATGTTGAGATGCATGGCCGCAGAGCTATGCCAATTACAATAAACACAACACAAAAAGACCCCATTGCAGCACAGCAACGAGACCCAGTTGCCCAGCTACTTCTTCAATGACCCTTTCTTCAAAGCAATATTGGTAAATACCAGGGACATAAAGCTTTGTCCCTCTAATGTTATAGTAACTGAGGACTTACCTTTAGCTATAAGCGCTTCAGCGTATGAATCTTTCCATGTAGTCCTGTGCCCAATCACCCTTGTCGGATTCCCCACATTCGTCCTGAACTGGTCCAAGCCAAACTTCAGCTTTACGGTCTTCGCCTTCTGGTTCACGAAAAACACGCTCACGAAACTATACTTCTCGTTGTAAAACGCCGCGACGGAATGCCAGCACGAGTAGGGGACTCTCAGCGGCCGGCTCCCCTGCGGAGCGAACTTAGCGAACTGACGAAACACCCAGTATCGCTTCGCCAGCAGAATCCCCTGCTGTTGAATTTCTCCGGCCGCTTTCTTCAGGGGATACCCCCAAGGGATCTTGATCAGCGTCCAGGCTGGATGAGGATCAATGGCTTGCCAGTACACATACGCGGAGGCCTCGAGGATATTGATGCTTTCAATGACTTGACGAGCCACGTACAGCGTCACATCATACGGATGTCCCTCGTATCCGATTGGTCCGCCTTCTGACACCCAAACCTCCTTCCTGAGCCTCTTGGCCACGTTCCGCATCCGCGCGTACTGCAGATTGGTCCACCGAGGCAAGGACACGCCCTCAGGCGGAGTGCCGGTATACGAGTGAACGTTGATTCTTTGCAGCATATTTGCGCTGGCGAATTTAGACACGAAAGCGGTCGTGTAAGGGGACCAGCTATCCACTCCGACCAGCTTCGTTTTAAGCCCTCTCGATTTAAGAGCCATGGCGGTTTTCTGAATCACCCGTCCCATTTCAGGAGCCTTGAAGGTGCAACCCTCATGCGGAGCTCCCGCCTTCCAGAACCCTTCCAGCGGCTCGTTAAAAGGCTCCACCGACGTAAACGTAAGGTTCCACTTGGGATCCTTAGCGAAGTTCTCCACCACTGCTGCTAGATACTGCGCAAATGAGGACTCGTACTCCGGCCGCAAATTGGTTTTGGTTGGGTCAGTGGCTCCTGCCACGTCACGCGTTATAGTCATCCACCAGGGAGGGCTGTTGGAAAAGGCTTCGAAGATATTTGCTCCGCGACTCCTTGCCCCCCAGAGGACGGTCTTCTGACGTTTGTCTGCCTGCCAGTCGTAGGCTCCTGTCTGTGTGGGCTTGAACCCCGGAACACCCCTCCAGTCGGCGATTGTTTTAGAAAGGAACTGGGGGCTGAAACGCGCGTTGAAACCGCCTCCGATGTTGTAACGTACGATATTGAAGTTGAGACCGTCTCGCGTGAACATCAGATCCATGAGCCTGCCAAGGTGCTTCTCGGGCAAGCCACCAATGTAGTTCGCGAACCTGCAACCAGAAATGGAAAATGGGTTGCGAAGCTATTATGAAGACATGTTGTGCAAGTGACCTGGTGATTGCTGCATAAAGATGAGAGTAAGACGATCACGAATCAGAAGCTCCAATTATTTCCAAATGTCCAGTATTTTAGGCAAGTGACTGCTCAACGCATTGATCTGGTCTGGTTAGGCGTAAACCCTCCTCCCAATCAGGGCAGCATGATCACATAAATACACTTGGAAAGAACATGTTGGAAACAAAATGCAAGAATGCTGGAGCGGTTCTTCTATCAAGGGGTTGGAACATACCATGCAAGTGAGGTCCCCCATCCCTTCCATCTCGTGCCGATGAACTTAGGAGTGATGTTGAACGCAATCGGGCCTGTAGAATAGGGTAATGGTTCGGCCAGGGAAGACACGGAAGGAACGGGGGGGAGGTGGGGTAGGGGGGGTTTGGTTGTGGAGGTGGAAGGGGGGAAAATTGTCAGAAACTGTAAAATGACAGAAGCGGAACCAACCGTGCCTTTCATGTTCCTGGTTCTCCTTGACTCGACTGACAGGGGAAAAAATGGTTCCTCGCGGGCTCTCGATCTACCCAGTCTCTAGAAAAATGTGAAGTCAACCTCGCCCCACAACACTGACCCTTCACCCTCATCCCTCGTCTTCCCCCCTCGTCGACGTCGATAGCTCACACATTACCCGTCCCTGACACATCGGATACCTATTTTCCGTCCCTTCTTTCCCCCTCGCCTATCTCCTAGGCATAACACGCATGCTCTTACCTTTCACGTCGCACAGATCGAACAGCCCCTCAGACGGGCAAAGCCTGAAGAACGGCTGCCATTGTTTGTGCGAAAAGGTAAAGAGAAGAGAAGAGACTCGTCCATGAGCTCACCTTTCACGTCGCACACTTCGAACAACCCCTCAGATGGGCAGAGCGTGGGGAACGGCGGCCGCGGGCCCGATTCGTTAAGGTACGCGGCAGTTCTGGCTCGACACGCGTCCAAGGACGATTGCGCGGGGGCGACGGCGTTCGCTGCGACGGAGCGGTCTGTAGCGGGTCGTGGATCGGAAGGAACGCCGCGGGTGTACCAGCTCTCGTCGACGATATTCCCCGATGAGGCCACATTTGTCGTGGCACCAAAACGCGGAACCGCGAGGATCAGGAGGAGGGGGAGGAGAGATGACAGGCGGCGAGTTGCGACAGGCGAGATGCGAAGCGCTTGCGATCGGGAGCGTGAACGTGGAAGCATGACGGGGAAATGCATGCTGGCGACTTTCATGTAGAGGTACTCGGGCTGCTTGTGTAGGAATGGGTAGCTGTGTTGATGGGCGAGCAGCGGTACTGACGGGTGTTCGTGTGCACTAATGCCGATGGTCGCGTGTTACTTCAGCGTCACCTCGAAGTATCCACGGTCAGGAAGGCTGGCGATCGTTAATGCCACGGCCAGAAAGTCAGCCGTAATTAACGCGCCTTAGGAGAGAGGCGGGTGAGCCTCATAGGGCTCGACGGAAGGGGTAAGCCGGCTGTAAAATAATGCATCGCTTCGGCCTTGAGGTGACTTTTGAGTCGACTCAGTTCAGAAGTCACATCGGCTCGGCAATGCTCTGGGAAGTTGAGAACTAATCACCCACGCTGTATATTTGCCTTTCTGTCTCAGCGGAGCGCGAGCATCCTCTCCTCCACTGGACAGATGCTTTCAAGAAGACGATGCTTGATCATGGACCAGGGCGAGTATTGGATAGGGGAGGGGCTTCGCGCTTGCGCCAGCATAGCGCACTGGATCAGCCCGAGGAGGATTGTCGTCGTCGGCGACCTGCTGACCCGGCCCGCCCCGCCACAGTGAAACTACAACCAGATGAGTTTGTGCAAAGCGGGCAAAACAACCTGGGGTGAGGAGAGGTGAGGTGAGGAGGATGACTCAAACGGAGCACCGCCACCTGGAGCTGGGGTGGGGCGGGGGGAGAGACCATGGTCACCGCGCGTGAATCGCGATTCGTGACAGCATTGGTCGGTCTGTCCGTGAATGATGGTGGCGGAAGCTGCCATGGTGTTGCCTAGAAAGTCAGGACTCTAGGGGGAAGGGGGTGGGGGGGGGAGGGGGGGTGTTGGGAGCGAGGGAGGAGCGGAGAGGGGAGGGGAGGGGAATCAACGAGCGGCCCGGGATCATGCATCCGGGGAGAGGTTGGCTGTTCAGCGGAGACACTCTTCACGACTCGCGGCGTCGTGAAGACAGGATCTACGGCGCAGATGGATCTACAGAACAGCATTTCGTGGCGCACGAGGGCCACAATGTTTGGTAGACGGGCAGCTGGAACTGGTGCAGCTGGGCGGAGGAAAGGCTTGGGGAAAGCTGGTGTTGCTCAAGGAAAGTGCGCAGGTGTACAGTGAGGTTGGTGGGTGCGGGGGGGTGCTGCCTTCATGGGCGCGGGGCGTCCGCTTGCGGGAAACGAAGGGGAAGAGGGAGAAGGGGAGAGATTGGGCTTGTGGGCTGGGCCCCGCGCACGGAGCCACATCCGGAGAGTGGGCGGACAGGAAACGGGTGGCATGCGGGGGCGGTGGGGGGGGGGGGTGCACAGAACTTCGCATGTGCAGCGGACGAAAATGAGACAGGCGAGATAGACTGCAGGTGGGGGGGGGAGGAGGAGGGGGGGGGGGGGGGGGCGGGTGGGAAAGGCGGAAAAGCAGGATCTGTATGGCACGGAAAGCGCATCCCATGATCCCCACACCAACCAGGGGTGGGGGGGGGGGGGGGGGGGGAGTGGAGAAGGCAGAAAAGCAGGGTCTGTATGGCACGGAAAGCGCATCCCATGATCCCCCACACCAACCCATACCATACCACCCACCAAGCCAAGCAGGGCTCGCGCTAAGTTTTGTTTTTTTGGATTCCCCACCCCGCTGCACCGTGATTCGTCCGGATTTTAGGGTAGTTGATTTAGTTTCATCAGGATTCGGCTACGAAGATACTTTTAGCTGAGTTACAGAAAACATAGACTCGGACAGGTCACGAATTCAAGGTCCATCCAAGATAACATTTGCGGCGTGCCAAGAAAATAGAGTACTTTTGGGATTACTGTGTTAAGAGTGCTAATTTCATTCGCTTGTTATCTGACAAATCCGCCAAAGTAGGGTATAATCTGTGGCAGCAACATTCGCAACCTTCTGGGTTGCGGGAAGGGGGAAAGGGGGTGGGGCTGGTTAATTGTTTTTAGCTAAATCTTCCTATCTGCGCGGGCGTGGGGGGATGTAGAAGGAATTTCCCAGGATGTGAGGGACGCCGAATGTTCTAGGTTTTGGGTGGTGTGGGTGGGAGGAGTATCTCCGTGTAGAGTATACTTCGCCAAATTATTTAGATCTCAGGGTTAAAGCTTAAAAGTTCCAGCTGTGAAGCCCAGCTTAATATTCTAAGTTTCGGGGGGTGCGGGTCAGAGGAGTAGCCCTGTTCGGGTGGGCCAAATAACTCTCGGGTCAAGGAAGTAATGTTCCTGGCTGTAACGGACTTAGCCGAAAAATCTAGGTTACGGGTGGTGGGGGTGGGAGGAGCACGGCATGTCTGTGTGTTAGGGACATTGCCCCCCCAGCGGATTCTGATCTGCCCGGAGCCCCCTGCAACATCACATCTATAAATTCCGAAAACCCCGATAGCTCTACCTGTTCAAATTCCGGAAACAGCCCAACGCCAACTCTTCATATTTGTTATATTCCGGCAAATTAAATCCTTTAAACATGAGCCCTGAAGCCAAGCCTTTGGATTTTCACCTGGCGTGATTTGAAGGCGGCGAGCGGCTCGGGAAACTTGTGGCTGACGGATGAAATTAGTCAAGGGAGGCTGACCTGGCAATCAGCTGGTCGGTGTCGCGACATCCCTGAGCCTGCCTTCTTATTCGTCCTTTCACCTGTGAAAGGGGCTGACATCAAGGGCTGGACATGACTACAAAGCATTCTGGCCATGCCAGATAATGCGTCTGATCGGTACATCAAAGAACAGAATGCCCATGTTATGATTTAGGAAGTGTCAATGTACTATAATGTGAGAATACAAGGTCGCTATTGCAATGAAGGCACGCGGTTATATAGGGGTTGGCGTGGTAGGGCGATAACCTCGGAACGTTGTTAGATTCGGCAATGTGGCGACAGTGCCGGACGCGACTCGGCCGAACGTGACGAGTCGAGGAGTTCGGGTGTATGAGCTAGCGTACGACTCAGTAAGGAAAGGAAATTCCTTTCAGCCCACCACATCAAGGACAAGTAGAAGTCCACAGGGTATCCACCCACGACATACTAGGCATAACCGAGCCGCATTATTGTTATGAATGAACAAGCAGAGTAGCACGGAAATGACTAATGAAGTGTTGAATCACTCAGTGACGATACAAGGAATGGCAAGCCAAGATATAGGAACAACAGAGCTAGCCTAATCATGAGATGTGAAGGTTCGGGAAAGAGATCGAATGGTCTCGAAGTGACAAAGCAAGGCCCGGAGAACTCCCGAAGGTCGAATTAGAAGGTCTGGAGAAGCCGAGGCGGTTCTGTCAGAAAGATCTGGAATTGTCCTGAGGCTTTGGGTGTGTTCGAGCGTACGCAATAAGAGTACCGCTCGGTAAGGAATGGAAATTTCCTTACACCACCCCCCCCCCCCTTAGCGAAGGTGATCTATATCAGCCACGTGCTTGCGGGCCAAATAATTCGCAAGTATCGAAGGTGACTGTATTTGGTCCGAGGGCAACCACGTGTCGTCCTCACTGGTACGATTGGTCCATCGTATCAGAAAATCAACGTGTCGTTTTTGGCCGTCGATACGAATCCTATGGCTCAAAATCTTTGAAGGCTCGATGGTCGTCTCTGCTGGTGGCCGTACATCTAGGACCAATCGCTAACGAGCGATGTCCGATGTGTCAGGTACGAAAGGTTGCAACAGGCTCACGTGGAACTTGTTGCGAATACGCGAATCGGCAGGTAGGCGCAACTGGATGGTCACTGGCGCCACCATCTTCATGATCTTGAATGGGCCACAGAAACGTGGTCGTAATTTCGTCGGTAGTGGTAGCCGTAAGTTCCTGGTGTCCAAAAGGAATAGTTGCCCTCCTGCCATTGTAATATCCCGTCGATGTAAATCCACATACCACTGGGCAGTAGCATTCGCCTTGCGAATAAGTTCGACTGCTTTGTCTCGGGCAGTCTGTAATTCTTCAACGAACTGCTTCGATCGTGGTACTTGACTCTCAACGTTGGTAGAGATAGGTACTGTCAGGTCCATCCCGTAATTGAGGTAAAACGGGGAGTGATTAGTCGTACATGAGAACGCGTTGTTGTAAGAGAATTCCAACATGGGAATCGCGCCCTCCCATTTTTTTCAGTCGGGGCAGTTTGTCAGAATCAGCTGTTCCATCGTTTGGTTGGTCCTCTCTGTATGACCGTCCGTTTGGGGATGATAAGCGGATGCGAATTGTAGGCGCGTGCCATACCGAGCCGACGTGTCATGCCAAAATTTTGATGTGAACTTCGGGTCTCGATCGCAAATGATTGTTGCTGGTATCTCGTGTAGGCGAACAACGGTCGAGATGAGCAGTCGCGCGGTTTCTTCGGCTGTGATGGTTGTACAAAATGTGCCATTTTCGTCTATCGGTCGACGACAACCAATACTGCGTCGTTTCCACTGGATCCGGCCGGTAGACCTGTGACGAAATCCATCGGCACGTGTTGCCATGGGCGTTGAGGTGGCTCGAGGGGCTGCAACAGTCCCGTCGGTAGCTGATGTGATGATTTCATTTGCTGGCAGATCGGACACGCGGCCACGTAATGCTGCACGTCCGTCACCATATCTGGCTAGAAATAAAACTGTTGCAACGCCTTCAGAATTTTATCAACCCTGAAATGTCCCGATAAATTTGAACCGTGGACTTCTTGAACTAGTAACTCGTGATGTAGATGTTAACTTGGGACCCAAATTCGATCTGTCCCGCTTTGTAAGTAATAGACGCCTTTCCATGTAGTGATTTGGAGATGGCCGTCATTTATGAAAAAGAGGTCAGTGGAATACACGTGGGTAAATAGTCCACTCAGTAGCGGGTTGCTCTAGTACTGCTGCGAATTGGGCAGACGGTCTGGAGAGGGCGTCAGCAACATTGTTGGCGCCCTTTTTGTACGTGAAGTTGGACTCCAGATAGTCCAGCTAGCGTATCTGCCGCGAGTTGAGATTTGGCTGTGCCCTCAGGTACTGTAGAGATTTATGGTCGGTTTGCACGGTCATGTCTGCTCCAGTCAGATAGCACCTCCAGATTTTGAACGCGTGGACAATCGCCAGCATTTCCTTGTCGTGTACCGGGTAGTTGCGCTCAGCAGATTGCATTTTCCTAGACTCGTACGCGATTGGTTGAAGACCATTGACGAAATCTTGCATGAGCACTGCTCCGATGGCGATGTTACTTGCGTCGGTTATGACTTCGAAGGGCCATCCGGGTTAGCGATGCGAAGTACTGGTGGCGACATTAAAAGAGTTTTTAATGCCTCGAACGCAGCTCGCTGCTTCTCCCCCCACTCCTAAGAAGTCGTCTTCTGCTGTAGGTCGGTTAGAGGTCCAGGTAACCCCGCCATGTTGGGTATAAACCGCCGCACGTAATTCACAAAACCCAAAAATGATAGCAGCTGCTGCAGATTGGTTTGCGGTTTCCACTCCTGAATAGCCCTGAGTTT